AGTTCAGCATCAGGTTTAATTCCTTGTAACCAGGAACTGAAATCTGAGACTAACAAAAAAACCCCAGCTTGTTTGATGAATATCCATTTGGGGTTGTGGTCAAAATTTGACATTAATACCAAGAACCTGGGAACCCTACCTGCTGGTTAAAGTCTGCACTTGGTATAGTGGCATATACACTTTTGGCCTCTTAATGTGAGTTGGTCATAGTTTAAATATAGTTTCATAGTTGAAACTAAAGCTGGCTGTGTTTGTGTTTACATATTTATTTATCGTTTCCTTTTACAAGTTTCGTTTTACTTTCATAGTCACAAAGAGTTAGTCACAAAGCAAGTTCAAAGTGGTTTTGTGAACATGAGGAAGAACAGTGGACTTCAGCAGTCTGTCCAGCCACCAGATCACCAGAATGCCTTTGAAATGAGCTAAAAGTACAAATCTACACAATGTATGTCAATCAGGCTGGCCCCAGCTGAAAATGCTCCTGTGGTTGTAAGGGTTAATCGTAAGCATCTAAATTTCACCAACTGAATTTGTTTAATTTATTTATTTTTTTCCAGTTGGCCACTTGGGTGTGCTATGATTAAGGTTTATAATCTGGAGTTAAGAACGCCAGTTTGGTTAACAATGTGTCAGTTTTAAATTTCATTTTAATTCGGCCGATATAGTGTGACCACAATGTGGTCGGCCACAATCAATGTAGACCTCAGATTAAGTCCCAAGATCGGTGTTCCTTCAGAAATGAAGGTTTAAACACACACACTCTTAATCTCACTGAATATAACTAAATATAATAGGTCATTTCGAGGGCCTAACTATTAAAAGTCTGTAGAGAACAGGCAGCTGTTTGATCTGTTTTTAATGGATACATCAAACAAATATCAAAGCAAGCAACACACACATTGTTGTGATAAATGCAATGTCTTGAAAAAAAAAATCCCAAATTAATTAACATAATTTATTTTTTTTAAATTCAGACGTACAGTTTTGCACACATACTGTGTCTATTGCATTTGCAGACATGTTGATACCAAATGTTTTAAACAGTTTTTCTCTTTTTTTTTTTTTTTTTTTTTTTAGTGTGGTATTCTTTCTCTTAACACACCCATCCAAACATGTACTGTAAACACAAGGACAACACTGACCTGACTCTTAAACACAGCGGTCAGCTGGCTTTAGATAAATCCGCCTCTATAAACAGAGATGTGCTTATGCACAGTCTGTAAGCAAGGACCAAGATAGCAGAAGCCTTCTGGTTGTCTCAGCACTGTTTACCAGTCAAGTTTGAGCGGGGTTTGGTTTCATGCAGCTCAACAGTCCATATTCTGGTTTTGCAGTCAATTCAGCAGTTTGTCAGCACATTTTAAGCTTATCTGCATTTGTAAACAGTGGGCCTGATTTCTGCTGACTACTTTGAAAGCACCACAATTTTCCATTGCCTTCACGGTCTACATCAGCAGACGTTAATGGTGGGATTGTTGATGAAAATTGTTGATTTTTTTTTTTTTTTTTCCCCTAAAGCAATAAATGGAAATAAAAACGAGTGAAACCTCAGCTTATACTTGTGTACTCAAATATTCTCATAACTGTTTTTCACCTGGATTCTGATGCTTTTCTTCAAGTATTGTAGCTACACATGGTTTTAACCTTAAACTTCTTCTTGTTAAAGTGCAGGCATCGGCAGAACTGGCACAATTATCGTCATTGACATCCTTATCGACATTATTAACCGCCAAGGTATGAGGCTCAGATATGAAACTTTCTGGATTGTGAATCCTTTACTTTTTAATAAAGATATATATCTTTGTGCTTCAGTTCTGCTAACATTTGGATCTGCGTGTTTTAGGTCTCGACTGCGACATCGATGTCCCAAAGACCATCCAGAGGGTACGGCAGCAGAGATCAGGCATGGTGCAAACAGAGGCTCAGTATAAGTTCATCTACATGGCTGTGCAGCAGTACATAGACACAGTGCAGAAGAGACTGGAGGAGGAGCAGGTAATTGGCTATATTAGTGTTTTTTACTGTATTAAAACATTAGATTTTTGACGGAGCAGTGAAGCCGTATAAAGTCCGTCAGTTACATTTTAAACGCTAGAGCTGAGAGGCAAATCATCAGCATGTCAGCTGGTTAGGCGTGTTTACCACTTGCTCTTTCACTGCTGAATGTGGTTACAGTTTGAGATTGAGTAATTTCAGTAGATGACAGATTAATTTATTTTTTGTCACTTTTCAGAGGAATAAGATGACAGAGAGGGAATATTCCAATATCAAATATCCCCAGATGACCAACTCGAGGTCCAAGCACAACATGACCTCCTCACGCTCTTCTTCTGTGTAAGTCCATCAGGCATACACGTGTTTAAAAAAATGTCATCATAGGACTTAAGCAGGGTTTGACAGTGGGTTCATTTTCACAGTGATTAATTTCTCTTTTAGGCTGACAAACGACGATTCATCAAGCGTATACGAGAACATAAACTTCAAAAGCCCTCAGACATCTTTCAGCAGTAATACCAGGAGGTAAAATCGGCACCGTGGACCTCCTCTTCTGTCTGCCTCTCTGTAAGTGTCAATTTTTATTTCCATGTTTCTCAGAGATCCATCCTTTAAGCTAGGAAAAAAAAGCCCAACATTGTTTGTTTCATTGTTTCCTTTTCCTTCTGCCTTAGTCAGTTTAGAAAACTACCACAAGCATTTCTGGTTTCACGTGCTGGATTCCATTAACAGTAAATGTAGCTTTGGGTGGAAAAAACAAAACTAACTTAAGCCTGACGTGTCAGAAAATGTTTCCCCTAAAATCAAAGCTCAAGGTGTTCTTCCGCTGATGGCGGAAAGTTCTGTTTCTTCTAGTGTTGAATTAATTTTCCGTGTGTAAGCAGAAAGGTACTTTTCCTATATTTTTTCAGTTTTAAATTATAGGTTAGCCAGGAGCAGCTGAGTTGGCTTTAAAGAATACCAGTGCTCCCTTTTTTTTTTCTTTTTTTTTTTTTTTTTAAGAGCAACAAAAGACTGAATTTAATTTCAAATTATAATGAACCTCAGTTCTCACACTGTCATTCTTTTCTGTCATGGTGACTAATATAAGCACCAAGACAAGGAACCCAGCAGTGTTACAGGGAATGAATCATGACTTTGATTCTGGGGTCACAGGCACAAAACGTATTCTGAATACAGCATTGATTACAGTTGAATGTATTTAAAATGCATTAATTGAATGTGGTGTGTTGTTTCTGGAGGACTTCTGTCAGATATTTTTTAAAATGCATAACATAAAAGACTAACTACCATTCTCCTCAGCCTCTCTCCGTCTTTCTTGGCTCAAACTTTGATACAAATATGGAAAAGATTTAATTTTCATGGGTAGTTTCAAATTTTAGCTGTGCATCAGTGTTTACGAGCGTGTGGTTGGAGGCGTATATGATTGTATGTAGAAAGTATTAAGTAAGTAATGGATGCACTTAAACCTGCACCTATTGCTGCTTGATGTGCAGCACTCAACAGAGAATGTTGAAGAGCAGCATGATGGACCAATATATTCCTAAATATCAAAATGTCCTGAGTGAAGTTATAAAAATCTAATTAATAATAAATGAGTAAATAAGATCCCTGCCAGAAAGACTGAGGACATGTTTGTATAACTTCAGTGATGCTTGAGAACAGCGTCATTATATTTATTTTATAATTTCGATCTGATTCGAGCATCAAGTCATGAAATGTAAAATCCAAACCGTACTTGGTCTACATGTCTGTGTTTCTTTGTCTTTCTCAGCTCCTGAAAATCCCTTGGGAGGGTGGGGGGGACTCCACACTCGGTACACTCCACATCGCTGGATCTTGGCGTGGACCGAAAGTGGCGGGCTGATGTGTCTGCTGCCACCGTCCTGCTGGACTTCTGTCTGTCCGGACTTCTGTGGAGTCCACAGCATAGTGCCCTTACTCAGGCCCCCCACTTCCACTTGCCCTTTTTCTTCCCTCCTGTGCTAATGCTTCTCCCTTTCTTAACCAGTACAAGTGCCTTGTCACAGGATGTGTCTGTAATCTAGCCAACCCAAACCCACTGTTACTCTGCAAGTCTACATGAGGGCGAAAAACAGTTTTCTCTTAGGGTGACAGATATTAAATGTGGAGCCCGGCCTGGCCTCAAGTGAACGTAGCTGTGTGGGACTAAGGGAAGAGGTCAAAACTAAGCCGTTTGTCCGCACGCTGCCCCGACTCACTCGGTTATCTCTTTCTCAGTCTTGGCTGCTTGTCGTCTAAATTGGATTCTAAGACCGTTTTTGCTGTGTTCTGTCTGTCCAGCTGTGGTGGTTATTAATGTGGCCGCTGAGTGATGGCAAGGGCAGTTGCATAACCTGCTTCATGACCCCAGTCACAAGACGGGCAAGCAAGTCCCCTCCCTCCTTTGAATCTTTAATGAAGTTGTCTTTTTAAGTTGTGAAAGTGAATCAATTTTATTTAGATATGACTGAATATCAAAGTTTTGTATTTTGAAGGAGTTATATATAATCTCACTAGCTGCAAATGCAATCCACTGTTCTTTGACAATTTTGGAGGTGATTTGTTTTCGCTGTCGGGACAAATCCCATCTGCCCCGACTGTCTATGAACGTGAACATGACCTCCAGTTAAAGAACAGTCATTCATGAAAACTAGGGCTGTTCTGTCCATGAAGTCATTTTTTTTTCTTTTACTGATGTTGGTATAATGGTTATGTTTTGATGTTTATTTAAATATATATTTATAAAGATGCGCTGTGGTGTAAGAAATCATTCTTAGATATTTGAAGTCCATATTTGACAGAAAACTGGGTGGAAAGGATTCCTGAATGGACGGTCGGAGTCGTGCTCAGCCGACCGCCGTCTCGCAGCTTAGTTTGACTGGTCGTCCTTGTTAATCAGCGGGTCTGATGCTGTTCAACATCTGTCAGGGGGTAGATTGTCACAAGGAGACAAGGGAAAGGGGGGCGATTACAGTGAGGCAGATGGCCATCTGGCCCACTGTAATCACCCCGAGATTGAAGAATAGATTTGTCTCCAAAAAGTAATTTAGAAGATGGCCGTAATCCAGGCTTGATGATAGCAGAGAGAGTAAGCTGACGTCACTGATGTGATAAGGAAGACAGCGGTGCCGCTGTGCAAAGGGCTGTGCAGCAGCTTGTTGGCTACTTTTAGCCTCAAGAAGCAGCACCAAAATATCCTGTGCAAATAGAAGCGTAGAAATGTTGGAAGTCTGTCCTAGATGGTTTAAACCGTAGTCACTCAATGTCCTGAAAACCCTTTTTTTTTTTTTTTTTTTAAAAACCCAACAAACTACTGAATGTCTGACCGGTGGAACGTACCCTTGGTAATATGTTCAGTCCACTTTTTTCCTATTCAAGCATCAAAATAAAAGCGTGACTGAGTGGCACTCGTTCACACCGTTCGTCTTTACAGCTGGACTCCTGCAGGTGCAGCTTGTGATTTAATGTTATTTTTGAAATGAACACAATTTATGATGCAGCCAAGCACAATCAAGTTCTTCTTTCTTTAAATGGTTGACTCTTATGTGAATAAAAGCTCTGTTTTACATGAATGTCGGTGAAGGCCCACAGGACGTCTGTGGGTGAAGAAAATGCTGCACCACTTGTTCGTCCCTTGAATTCGAGCACTGATGGCGTGTGAATCCTCCTGTTTTTGTTGTTTTTGTTTTTCTCTTCATGAACTGTGATTTATGTCCAATGAATGAGACTTGTTGGTTTGTTTTCTTCGTCCTGCGCTGGGATAATTTTTTTTCTTTCTTTCTTGTATTTTTCTTTTGCCTCTATTGGTCAGGTTGTGTTTATGATTTGGTGAAACATCAGTACTTGAAAGTGTGAAACTGCTGAACCTCAGGCTGTGTGGATGTTCGTCAGCTTTTTTGGTTTTTTTTGTAGTGCACTAAATTTTTGCCATCAGTGTTTATCTTTTTGTTTTTTGTTTCAGATTGTATAGTTTTTGATTTTTATTTGTTCTTGCTTTTTTTGTACCTTGACTTTTTTGTAAATCTGTAATTTTACCAATGATAAAATTCAGGCTCTGAGTTGTACCAGCGCACACAGAGCTTTGCAGAAGTAATGTGGTATTTTCACTCTGCTCGTCATCTTACACTTACTTGAACATGAGTTCAATGTGTGTGCATTTCGGAGGTTTTTTGTTTGTTTGTTTGTTTTGTTAGTTTTTGTTTTTTCATCCCCCTGTTCCTCTGATTGCAGTAAACCCGAAATGAGTAGTGTCGTTCAGTGGAAGCTTTTCCCTTTTGCTCTTTTTCTTGCACTGGCTCCACCCAGACGCCTTGTTTTTTGCTGTATAGACTACAACGGCTGACACGATGATCTGTCAGAGCAACAAAATGATTTATCATAGTTTAATAAAAATCTATGATGGCACTATATAAAGTTAAATGTTTTCATTTGATTTTATGTTCTTTTAGTTTGTTACTTCAAAGGAGAGAGAATCTTTCATTCTACAGTCATGTCATATTTTAAATATCGGTACGTTTTATAAAAATAATCGGGTCTTTACCAAGGTCTTCATATCATTTAAATACAGTCTCAGGTGTGAGTGTGTGAGACTCATTACAGCTGCTTAATTATTTACAAAAATAAGCCAAAGTGCAGCAGTGTGTGGAAAAACTAAGGACTTGCTGCTTTCAAAGAAGTGAAGAGGGTAATGTAGCAGCTAGGTGCTGCTAATCAAAGGCATTTGATTTACTGATTATCCAGAAATGTGAGCATCTCTGCATAAAGGAAAGAAGCAACTGCTGTTGGGAAGGAATATGTAGCTACTTCCAAAAACTCAAACTTCCAACGTTCCACACTGGGATTATTTATAAGTGGAAAAAACATTTGGGACAGGTGCCAGTCTGTCTTGGAGTGGACGTTTGAGCAAATTCAGACTGAGGTCAAACCATGCAGTTCTAAGAGAAACCACGACCAAAGACATGAGTGCTACGTTTCAGGCCTGAGTTGATGTGTTACATGTTAAAGTTTATGATAGCACAAAACTTTGGAACTATGAAAAAGTTGTTGGGAGAAGGCCTCCTTTCTCCTGTGCACAGTACAGTAGTTTAGGTTTGCAAAGCTGGATCTTAGCAAACCACAAGACTTCAGGAACAGGACATATGAGACCAAAGTGAAGATGTTTAATGCACAGTGCTATGTTTAACAAAAACACAGCCCATGAGCACAAACACCTCACACCAGCTGTCAACCATGGTGGTGGAGAGGTGATAATCTGGGTTTTGCAACCACAGGACTTTGGCTCCTTGCAGTCTTTGAGTCAACTATGAATTTCTCTGTATACCAAAGTATTCAAGTCAAATATGACGCCATCTGTCTGACAGCTAAAGCTTTGCTCAAACTGGGTCATGCAAAAGGAGAATGATCCCACAGACTGTCTGAAAAAGAAAAGAATCATCGTGCTACAATTACCCGTCAGAGTCCAGACCTCATCTTTGGGTGGAACATTTATGCTGTACCTAAACGAATGCCCGCAAATCTCAATGAAGTGAAGCAATGTTGTAAAGAAGAGAGTGGGCTAAAAATCCTCCACAGTGATGTGAGAGTTTGATAAAGTCTTACTGAAAATCATTACTTTAACTTTTATTGCTGCTAAAGGTGGTTCTACAAGCTACTGAATCATGGGCTGTGCTAATGACAAGCTCATACCTTTCTATGCTTAGTCACTCCATTTGTCATTTCATTTGGTAAAAGCTTTACAGCACGATACTGATCACCAACCTGCTCGTACTAAAAGCAAGGCAGGAAAGACTGAAAAAACACCAGTGTTTCATGGTTGAAGTGGCTTAAAGAAAATATGCTTTAGAACTCCAGAGCAAATAAAACAGGCGATGAGTGTGAAATTAGTGCTTTCCTAGCTGAATTTCAACAAGCTAGTTTTCTTTTGCTGCCTGTCACAAGAAAATTGGCCGTTCAAATCTGCTTTATTGGAGGCAGGCATTTATAAAAGGCTTCTTTATAGGCAATGATCAATTTAAATGTAGAGAAGTTTATTTCCAACTAACAAGAACTTATTAAGAAGTATTTATTTTGACTTCCTTTTTCTATTTAGGGGAAACTGCTTCGAGGCCGTGATTCAGCACCTTTCTCTTTCGCCTGGATTTATTGTTTAACCACATTTACCGGCAGCTTCAGCTGGTACTTGAGGAAATTCTCCTTTTATGGCTTCCTCTAAATGAAGCTCGAATCAACATAATGCTCTTATCATCCATATGCCACGTGTGAGCTCTGGAAAGCCCCCACAACCTAACTTTTCCATCATGTCACACAGAATCCAGGAAGAAATAAAGACTGCTTCCTGTCCAGACAAAGGAGGAGCTGGCTTTTATGGTGACGGTTTAATGGTTACATAGGGCATGGTTTGTTTTTTAACTTGATAATGAGATTACGCTTTGTTTTAATTAGCATAAAAGGGTGTGAGTAGCTTTGTGTCTGTTTGAGGCTTTAGAAACTTAATTTGTGATTCAACTTTGTTCAAATGATTTATTTTCCAGAATCATAATCTGAGTTTTTGTTTGTTTTTGTTTTTTATTTAAAGTTTGTAGAAAAGGTCTTAAGAAAACACACTTTACACATAGTTTTTCATTGACATACTGGGAACACTTCTTCGTGCTGCCAGACGGACATTTGCAAAGCAAAGTTCAACTTTCATGTGCCAGCGTCTCTGAGCTTTCCTGGTTGTGTACAAGTAGACACAATAAATTAACCCAGCTGCGCTCCAGTCCATTGAGCCTGCTAGAAAGCAAAAATCATGTCTAATTTCAAAATACAAGTGCAGATTAAAGTGCTGAGATTCTTCATCTTCTCTGTGCTGCTAAACAAACACAGATGAAGCTGGTCTCGCTTCACTGTGTGGTGTTATTTGTAAATCAGTCGTGTCCACAGACTGTAAAAGATGGACATAGCTGCTGGTTCATGGTCTACCATTGAAGCCTTTAGTTTTATTTTTTATTGTTTTAAATATACATAATGAGTGGCTGTGATATGACAAGACCCACCCACTTTAGACAAATGAGGTAATAAATCAGGTGAGAAGTACGTAGTTCTCCCTGCTGGCTAAGGCGCATCCACGTTGGCTTCACTTTACAGACTGAAGCTAGTCCATCCTTTATCTACAGTTTATGGTTGTCTGTGTGAACAAGAAATTTCATCTCATTATAACGTAAAAAAACCCAAAACAAGCTATGTCAAGAATTCTTGTGCCCTATAACACCATAATAACATGTCACTGGTGAAAATGGCTGCAGTCAGTGTTACTTTACGGGCTGTTTGCCTGCTTGCAGTTTTTTAAACCGCCACCGGGAGGCACTGAAGTCAAATGTCTAAAAAAGCTTGCACATAGACGCTTTAAGCTTTGTGGCTCTTTTTCAAATTGAAAATGTGAGGAGCTGTTTCTGTGTAGCAATAATAAAATACACTTTTAAGACAATTTGGAAATAATAATAATAATAATAATAATAATTAAAATGTCACACAACAGTACAAATGTATCATTCACAATATTCTAAGCATTTACAAGTGAAGTCCAGGTAGTTTTAATGTTTATCCCACCAGTTTCTTGAACATTGCACTGGTGATGTTGGGGTTGGGGGTGGTACTGATGGTCGTGTGGGTGCTTTCGCTGAAGCAGCGCATATTCCCGGTGCTGAACACGCACTGCAGAGGCCACAAAACAACCACAATAAGCAGCACAAGGAGCAGAATGAAGAGGATCATCTTCTTGCAGTCAGCCACTCTGTCCACCATAGTGAGATGGCGCTGTGGAAGCTCGGGAGCAGTGTCCATCTTGGAGGACCCAATGTCAATGCAGACGCAGAAGGCCGTAGGACTTTCGGGGTCCACTGAGCTATTATGATTCTGCCTGCTCTTGTAGCACAGCCTCTCCCCCTCCAGCCATACCGGCTCCTCCTGCTGCTGGTGGCTGGGCAGCTCGCAGAGGACCTCGCGGCTGGTGGCTAGGGCTGGGGGTCCTTCCTTTGGCAAAATAGTGGCCTGCCGGCAGATGGGGCAACGGATGTCTAAGGTGGGGTTTTTGTTGTTGTGGTTGGACAGCGCATTGAGGCGGGAAAGGCACTCCAGGCAGAAGGTGTGGGTGCACTGCAGCTGCTTGGGTGTTTTGAAGACATTGTCGTAGGTGTTGTAGCAGATGGAGCACTCGGGCTGGTTTGCCACTGACACCTTCTTTTGCAGCTCTCCAGCGTCTTCCTGGGAGGGTATCGTCACGTGCCAGACCTGCTGGGTATCTTCCATCTTTAGAGGTCTTTGACGTCCTTTGTCAACTCTCCTTTTGGGCTCTCAGGCTGTTGCCTTGGTCTTTCCTGAAGTCCCTGCTGGAGTGAAATGCACAGATTAGTATTCAGAGTTCTTAAAAATGCCGTAGAAATTGCAACAGTTTACAGTCATGCCTAGCCAAGGCAGGATTTATCCAGTCATACTGGATAAATCCTTAGTGTTCTTAGCCTCACTTGGTACACTGATAATATTACAAAGTTTAAAGTTTTTATCCTGTCAAGGAGTATTTCGGGAACGATGCATAACGGGTCAAATATGCTGTGTGATAAGGCAGCATGCACAAAGATATAAATCAGTTAAGTGACCACAAAATGAAAAGAAGCCCTCCAGCCCCTACACAGTGTGGGCAGTGCTGCAGGTACAGCGCCAGTCATGACAACATTTTGATCGTGCCTCAAAAAAGAAAAGCCAAAGACCTTTAGTTCTGCTATAAATCATAGAACTTATTAACGGCTGCTGGATGCGCACTGTGTAGTTTAGTGTTGTAATGTAGAGGGAGTGAATGAGTCAGTCTTCAGTAAGCAATGAAAGCCAAGGATCTCTTTTTTTGTTATTTGTTGAAGGCTGTTTGTTGAACATCCTGGTCAACACCTACGGGGTTATCAGATTTTCACGCTGGGTGAATGACTTCATTGTGGAAATGTAAAGCGTGGGGACTCGTGTTGAGAGTCACCCTGATTGTTTTGGGAATCCATTCCTGTTCTGGGGTCTCTACAAGACTGTTCAGTGTATTATACAGCATCTCTCATCAGCTGCAGTGAATATTAAAAGAATCTACATTATCTAACCAGTTTTGATATAATTGTTTAAAACTGGTGGGAATAAAGCGGCTTCACTGAAGGCTGGAGAGCCTCCACACAGAGAGCCTTCTTTTGGTTTGTACTTCCTCTTAAAAAACGTCCTGTCATCACAGCTCACATGCACCACGCTGAGCTTATCTTGGTTGGCTTTTACGACAGATACTGTCTCCTTCAAGTTTTAACTTCGTCACCTTTTTTTATATCGCGTCTAACTGCCTGCTGAATAGTGACTCATAGAATTTGTTTGGATCCTTTACCTGTCTTTTTTTGTATCTTTGTGTTTTATCTTGTACTTTCTTTTATATTTTATTAAAACATCTGATGAACACCCTCTAAAACAGCCGAATGGATTATTTCTTTACTCTTCTGGAAATATTAACCGATTCATTGATGTGTGAAAAATGGGAGAGTCTCAAAATGAATCCACAATAAAAGTCCCTATTCCATTCAAACTCAAAGCTTTATATATCTTCCTAGGAAAGAACCCTAATGTTGTAGTTTTGGTATTAAAAGTCAGTCATTTTGAGGGTTTCTGTGTGTTTGTGGATTAGGGATGAATGATGTCAGCACAGGTGTTCTCCTCTCTGTGCCCCGAGGGCCGGTCTTGTCCCAGTTCTCCCATCTACACAAAGTCCCTGCTTGTTCTCCACCTAATCATTCCATCTGCCCTTCACATTCCTGCACAGGGAGCTCTCTCCCTCCACATGTCTGCTGAATGCTTCAGTAGGATGAGGACAGATTTCTCAGTATAATTACACCCGTCTTATCAGTTTAAAGGCTCCTTTAACCGCGGATTCTGAATCAATTACACTCTCTTTCAAATTGCGGTTTAGTTGTCGGGCGTGCCCCTTTACTGGACGCCCGTGGCACTGCAGTACGAGGTAGAAGACCTCCAGATAACACTCCCAGTGACTAGTGTCTGATGCAGCACACTGAAAATTCAGTTCATTTCAATATTACCAACGCTGATTAACCACAAAATGACACTTACGCAAAACAAGCATACTTTGAACATTGTAAGGATTTAGCAAATATTTAAACACCTACTTAAAGGTTCATATGTGGCTAATTATTGTATTTCATGTGTTTTAAAGGCACACTGAACCAGGTCAAGGTCTTACGAAAAGAGGAAAAGTCGTTTGATGATCCCATGCAAGCTCCCTGCATCTACAGTAATAAAGTAGCTAAATTTAAACTGATTGGCTGGATGTGACATCTCCTGCTCTGTTTCCATGTCTGTTAATCTGGTAACAAACTTGTTAAACTTTTACAGGTTTCAGTCTGGTGGCTGGTCAGAAGGAATGCACTGAGGACACTTCACAGATTATAGTCTGACTCTCTGACCTCACAAATTTACTTCATTTAGAAAGAAACATCTGCTCACAGGGACATTGTGTTTGTTTGGTTGTTCTTGTTCTTGTTTTGGTAGTTGAATCTGTGGGATTGCTTCTGGAAATTTCCTGTAAAAATTCTACTGTTAATGTGTAAAGATTGTAATACTTCAGAGTTTATCATTAGCCCCTGTGGGCTCTGTTTAAGTATTAGTAGACTGCCCTAGCACACGGCTCGAGCAATACGCAGTAATAGGACAGAGTCGGTTAAACTTTAGAGATATCAACCGCTGTGAGTCCATTTCACTTGTTTTGGTGCAAAAGAAAGTGACAGCAGGTGCACTGCAGAGAGAACAACACAACCTCCCCCCTAACAAAAGGAAAGGTTTTGCACTTGGCGTCCACAGACCATTTCTTTCTCCTTTGCTCTCTTGATTTTTAAAAAATTACAGCTACAAACTGTTACACGCCCTCATTCAGAGGAAAAGCTATAAAAAAACTGATATTGTTCATCAGGTCAAATATTAACTCAAACTCAGTCTTTGCTCAACCCTTAACACTTCAAAACACCACTAAATCTCTTTATTGTCTTTGCGCAGTGCTTTGCTTTGACCTTCCCTTTGCTATCACACATTGGTGACCAGGTGCACATGTTTTTTTTTCTCCTCACCCATCCCACTGACACAATTCTTTTACAACTTATTTGTGTATTACTATCCCATCCCCCTCCCACCCACCCACCTCGCTTCTTTGTGTCAGGCTCAACTGCCATCTCTAGTGTTGCACTACCTGTTCTCCATTTGAAAGGTAAATGTAACTCGACCTGCCGACAGTTTGAACTAGGGGCGGCTCGAGACGGTTTAACTGATCGTGAGATTAGGTCGAGGCAAAAACAGATCTGTTCAGCAGGTAGCATGTGTACGCGCAAAGGACAATGCAGGAAGCAGTAGTGCAGACATCTGATAAACTGAATACACAGATAGCCACTGGTGAAATGTGGCTGCTGCAGCAGGAGATCATGAACATGTGTTGTGACGGTACCACTCTTTGCATCTCAGCAGTTTGGAGATGAGATAACACAGCCTCATTTGTCAAAGACAGCCTGGAGTGTGACTTTGTTCAATTTAAGGGGTAATAAGTAATAATAAATAATCAAATATGGGTGCAAACACTAAAGTGCAGCATTTAAAGCCTTTTAGTTTAACATCAGTGAGCTTCAAACTGTTTAAAAAATTGCCTCAAAACAGCATGAAGAACAAAAGTTCAGTTTACCTGTTAGATGATTAAGATGTGCTCCTGTCTTGATCGCGGTTGGGCCGAGCTCAGCTCACTCCCTCAGAACTTGACAAAGCATTTTTCTCTCAGTCAAATTCAACTGACTTCCAAATTCACACCAGGGAGTTTGGGGTGTTAATTGTGCCTCTGCTCAGGTTGAGGTCCTCCTCCGTGGTGTTTGTTCGAGTGGGTGCGTGTTCAGAGGCTGAGTAATGGCTCGCTGTGTGAGAGTCAGCTCTGAGTTGTCCCTCCTCAGTGTCACCTGTCAGGCTCTGTCAGCTCCCCTTTTTAGCCCTCTATGTAAATGGCCTCAACAGAGTTTTGGCCTTGAGGCGGGGAGGGAGGAGGAGGAAGGGGAGGAGGAAGACGCCTCACAACTTCAAGGAGAGTAGTACACATTACTGGCCTGTCTTTTTATGTTCTTTCATGCCTCTTTCTGCCTGTGCTCACTGTCTCTCCACACATAAAACAAACACTTATAACCTACAGCACACTAATCACACTCAATCTGATATATTATTGATGTGACTGCAACATTCATTTTCTTGTCAACAGCACTCAAGTCTGTGCCCTTAAAACAAAAACCTTTAGGATTGACTTTTTCAGAGAATAAATAAATGCAAACAGACTGAAACTTCCTTTTTTTTTTTTTTTACACAACCAGTGTGCTTAAGATACACAATACATATACAGGTCTCACTTCCATGTAGCCACTGATAAGGCGACAGGTGGTGATAGAGGAATATCTTCCCGCCAGAGCACCGCTGCATATACGAACAGGCTCTCGCTCCACTTGCAGTGCTGCTGGTCAACATTACAAGCCGTTATAATTCAGCCTGATACATTTTCCAAAACTTTCCGAGCTACACTTCATTAAGAAAAGAAAACAAAAATGACATCATGTTTGATCTCAGAGGGCGAGATCGCCATTAAGGAGGTCAGAGCTCAGAGATTAGAAAGACTTCTCTTCAAATCTGTATTTGAAAGACTGTCAGGATATTCAATCAGCACCTCTAACAGGATATAAACACAAAAGTAACAACGGCATCCACCGTGAAGAGGCTACTGCTCATTTATATGACTTGAAGGATGTGTGTTGGGTGTTTTATTTGATTACTCATTACATCTTATGGAAATGACTAATGGCTGTTGGCCATTAGCAATAATATGTCTCTGCAATAACAGCTTCCTAACTGACTCAGTTATTTAGTAACCCAAGCACAAATACTGCTCTATCGTATCAGCAAAGTCATTTCTTGGGCACTAAGCAGAGCGGCCTTTGACGAAGGAGAAGGTGTACAATCAGATGTTTTCTTTGTTGTTTTTGTTTAATTCCCTTTCCTGGAATCCATGTATTGGGCCAAATAATAAACATGCCAAAGATTTAGTGAGAGTGTAATTCTATAGTGAATGATGTTGCACGATAGATGGCAGGGAAATGATACACGTGAGAAGGGAATGTGTTTGTGCAGACGGGCCATAAAATGACACAATGTTGACTGTCTGTCCTCTTGAACTGACAGTTACTCAAACAATGAATATGATAGTCTCAACCTCTATGGCCATGCCTCCAAGGTCAGAATCTCCTGCTGTTTCATTTTAGTAGGAATATGTGCACAGTGTTGGCGGTAAGTGACATGATTATTTTTAATTAACACTGAGGATTCTCAGATGTGCCTCCTACTGGATTTGTAAATGTTCGCATCTACAGCTTGCATGAATTTCGTTTTCCACTTTCCTGTCGAGAAATTTCCATGAATCTCTGTCCTTCATCTAGTTCAGAAAGCAACACATAGGCGTCTTAATGTTTTACCAGACTGCATGGCATCACTCCAGTCCCCAGCGTTTGTCTCCAGTGGCTCCCTGTGCATTTCTTTAAGTTCGATTACTTATAAAGAAACAAACTGTCCCTAATGTTTATGGTAGTTTTGTTTTAATGGAGAGAGACAGACTCTCAACCAAATATCCAGAAAAGTAAAACAAACAAAACAAAAGGTACTTGATCCCCTGTATCCCACTGATTGGCTCTGTGCCCATCTGATCCACGCATAAAAAAACACTTGTCCACAGAAACAATTTCTCCCAGGCCAAAGATCTGTCAAAGGACATAAGCAGCAAGCTTGTAGACCTCCACAAGGCTGGAGTGGGAGTGGACTGTAAAGCTCGTCTCAAGGACCTGCAAATGATTCTGAGAAGGCTGGAAGAAAGTCCTTTGGTCAGCACAAGGTTAAAAAAAAGGGGTTTTCTGGCATCATCTCGACCATCCCCACAGTCAAGCATGGAGGTGGCAACATTTTATTTGGGGGCTGTTTTTCTGCTAAGGTTACAGGACAGCTACACAGCATTGAGGGGTTAACGGACGTTGTCATGTATTGTAAAATCTTGGACAAGAGCCACCTTTCCTCAATCAGAACACTGAAGCTGCCATGTCCAGCATATCAGTGACCCAAAACATTACACAAAGTTAAAGCCCTATAGAAAATCTGTGGAGCTGAAACTTCAGAGTTACCAAGTGCCACCAAAAAAACCTACATGATTTTGAGAGTTTCTGTAGAGATGAGTGGGACAAAATCTCTCCTGGAATTTGTGCAAACCTGATGATCAGGCTCTCCCGAGGGTTTCTTTATTAGTCCCACACATGGGAAATTTGTTTTGTCACAGCAGGAAGTGGACAGTGCAAAAGTTATGAAGCAAAAATTAGAATACAATAAGAATAAATACAGTACACAACTGTACAGAATAGAATAAAATAAAATACTATATACAGTAGAATAAAATAGAATACAAATATACAATAAGATAAAAATAGAATACGAATGCTATATACAACTGAGTAAAAATACAACGATGCCAGAAAAGATTATTGCACTTAGTGTTATGGCACATGTGTGGATGTGTGTGCTTGATCAGTTAAAGTCTTTATTATGGAGTCTGACAGCAGTGGGGAGGAAAGACCTGTGAAATCTCTCCATCCCACACCGTGGGTGCCGCAGTCTCCCACTGAAGGAGCTGCTCAGTGCTGTCACAGTCTGCTGCATGGGGTGGGAGATGTTGTCCAGCAGGGATGACAGCTTAGCCGCCATTCTCCTGTCACTCACCACCTCCACTGGGTCCAGAGGGCATCCTAGAACAAGAACTTCTCCAAGAACCGAGTCATGTTTACCTAATTTGCAGTTCTGATACTTTGACTGCAGTTTCTAGCATTTGGTGGAAGTGTCAGGATGAGTTGAACATTAAGTTGAGCAGGGTTAGTGGAATTTTACAATGAACTCAAGGACGTGAAGAAAGGTGACATTCAGCAGAGAGTCTTCTAGTAACAGGTTGCTCTAAATCTGACATTTAGTTGCAATGAAACAATGATTTTTTCTCTCTCTCTCTCTTCCCCCGTTTTGTTTCTCGTTACCCTCTCTTCCACAGCTCTGCAGGTAGCTCCAGTTCTGGAACTACCTGTTCCTGGTTTGCAGTTACTGGTCACACCAGCCTATCAAGTGCTTCTATTTGTTTTCTGTCTCTTTGCTCTTTTTCCAGCTCCTCACTTTCCCTTCATCCCAAACTGGTCGAAGTAGTTTGTTGCCCTTGCCGAATCTGGTTTTGCTGGTACAATACAATTACAGCCACCACTAATTGTACATGATACTGAAGACACTGTAGGGATGGTGCAGTGGTTGGCGCCATCCTCCTCGTTGGCTGGGGCCTCTTTTTGTGCAATTCATACGTCATCTCCACAGATGTGGACGTGTGTGTCCTGTTAATTAGTGCTGGTCATAGATGTAAATGTGAGAGCGAATGGTTGACTGGTGACTTGGTGCACTGGGTTTCCCCAGATGACCCAGTTCAGTGACTGCTTTGGTAATCGATTACCTCAATGATTGCTAAAGACAGAGCCTCTATCACGTCTCAGCTTGTTCCCTGGATCACCTGACTCCAAGTAGCTTTAAAAAAACAACTGCTAGGAAAAATAGGCTCACATCATTTTTCTAGCATGGACAGTGAGTTACTTGTGTGTTCGATAAAGACATATTAAGTACAACTGCTGTTAATATTTATTAGTTTACATGGTTTGCATTTGTCTGTGATTTTGATGAAGGTCAGACTTCACTTTATGAGTAACCCTCGGATAAATCCTTTTAAGTACGAGCCTCTGTTTGGCAAGGTCTGAAGGACTGTGAGTCATTGTATTCTGTTTGGATCTTGATGACCCATTCATCTGATTTTGCATCTTCTATTCAAGGACAGCCTGAGTCTTTTTTATCTAATTGGAGAGATAGTACATACTCATGTGGAAGAGAGAGTAGACACAGGAAGACTGTGAAAAACTCTCATTGGAAGGATACCTGCTGCAATACCTGCACTCATCTCTTTCACGCTTCGTATATGACACGATTATGGAGTTTGAGAACAAACGTATGTAACAATGATCAGTGAAAACCAAAATCATTAACGCTTTGAGGTCTGGATTTAAGTTAAAATAAAAAATGTATTCAAATTAAAATTTAATTAAATAAAAAATTATGTTACAACTAATTAATGAAGCATTCCTGTTTTTAATTTTTCTTATCGTTACAACAGGGGTAACATGATTATGCGGACAATTTAAATGACAATTTAAAGGTCCGTGTAATTTTGCTAACAGCACACGGCTTCTGGAGACTGAACTTAACAAAATTTGCCAAGAAGTGTTTTTGAAACTTTTGCCTTCTTTTTTCTTCTTGTCTTTACTGTCAACAAGTCGGATGACAGACCTGAGAGAAGGTCACTGCTGAAGTTAAACTTCCCACATCCAATAAAAATGTGAAGGGCAAACAGACCGGTTAAGTTAAAATTTGGGATAAAGGTGTTATATTTCCACTAATATGGATGTGTTAGAGATCTGGGACAAAGCTTTGACAGGTTAGGTTCAAAATTACTTCAAATCAAAGCAGGTAAACAAGAAAACAAATCATTTAAAAGGGTGTGTTTTACAGTTGACTGTAAACTTATTATTTATCTTTATGACTTCAAAACAGTCATAGAGAAGGAGTTTATCCTCTCCAGTTTTCCTTGTTGTCGTCACTGTTATCGAGAAAACGATGGCTCTAAGGAGGATGTTTACGACTTCCTTGGAGACTCAAATGAGCCGTATAAAAACAGATCACGTGCTGATCAGATTTTCCATGGGGGATGGAAACTCTGTGCATAGCTTTCCAAAATAAAGAATAACTTCTGAACTGAGTTCAGTCAATATTTCTGTTTGGTGTGAAATTATAATTTTCCATCATACTCTGACCTTAACTGACAACATGCAGCATTAATGGACGTACTTATGCC